AGCACGAACCGGCTTTGGCACATAGAGCTTCCGCAAAGGACATGTCTTGCCGTTTTCAGGACAAGGAGAACCCCAAAAGAGGTACACACGGGCACGCGCACGAGCTCATGTTGTCAACAGCCGCCTCATCGGAGCCTTGTCATTTGGTCTCAGCAACCAAGCGCATCTACATTGAGCAGAATAGCTTGCGCGCGACTTTGACGATGCCCGAACAGGGAGAGCCGTCGGGAGGGCCAATTGCACCGAGCTGCAGGATGCGTCCAAAAGGGCCAGGCTGTCCGGGCCATCCAGGCCCTGGCCCATCGAAGTGACATTCAAGGTTAAGGTATTTAAGGAGTTGAGGCCCTTAAGCCCTTAAGGCGGCTCCTTGGACTTCCACTTGCTCCCTAAACGCGCATGCTTACGATTCCTCCCACATTCCTCGCAGAGACGAGGATTCAGCCGTGCCGCGGGCGACACTGGGCTGCGCAGAGGCTCTAGCCGGGAGGTGAAGTCCGAGCCCCAAATCCAAGAAGCTGAGTTTCGGCCGTGGAAAATGCTATCATCAGAGCCGTCTCATCTCCCAGGGCACGCGCCAACTCTTGAACAAGGCTCCGGTGATCCCAACGCCTATCTCAGGAAAAGCGCCCCCGGCCCGATTATAGCTATCTGCCTTGGGAATTCCGATGAATCGAACATGTGTAGCCGATGCCTTGGGTAGGCTGTAAAAGCCACATCTTGGCATGACAGAGGACCGTTCTTGTGCAACGGTCGCCTGAACAGGCATGATTGTTCAGACCTCCGCGGATTCAGGACGGCAGAGGTTCCAGATCCAAGTCCAGACCTCTGCGCTATGCATTTATTCCTTGCGGACGCAGCCGCCACCCCCCGTTTTGCGTTAGTTTGGGTGTCGGGTTCTCGCTTGTTCGCATACACTCGTGTGTTGCCAGATAGCACAGTGGCGGAAGGAAATCAAGTGCACTGCCGGCTGCGTGTCTTGGTCGCAAGGCCTGCATTGCTACGCTCATGGTCGTCTCCAAGCCGAGAACGCTGCAGCGGCCAAAGCCATCAGGAACTGTCGTGGGAAGCAGGTGCCCAAAGTGGTCTGCGAGTCACCTTCGCAGTTACTCCCCTTTGAGATCCTGTTGGACTGAAGCTCAGAGGCTCACTTCCGGAGGCATCCCGAGGCAAGGTTTGACGTGGGCTTTGACGCCTACCCTAGATTTGGGATGCAGGATACCGCAGGGTAGAGTGTGTATGTTCCGAGGCGCACAACCACAGTTGAAACTGCTGCGAATCACGCTCGGTCCCGCGAGAAGCTTCCTCGGACCGTCTGCGGGAGCAGCTCCAGCCAACAAGCAATCACTCGAGCTTTAACATGCCACTTCTACTAGCGGGGCCTTTTGATTTCTCGAGAAGTATCGGCCAGAAGCACTGGCCAGCCAAGGGCATCGAGGGGCGATGCCACTTCGAGCTTCCACTTCTCATGTCAGGTGGTCAGACGGCGACATTCGGCGACTTCGATCTCACGGGCTACATCCCAGTCACTTGCAGGTCGATTGATGCCGCTTCGCCGGCATCGCCTGCGAAAGAGGCCGAGGCGAAGCGCGGGCTCAAGTCTGAGCACAGCTTTCAGCTTTAGCTGTAGAAATTTTAGGGCTGAGCCGAGCGGAGCTGAACTCTTTCAATAGCCTGGGCATGAGCCTTTCAAGCATTCACGCATTGAGTGCACACCGACCATGCTATAGGACGTCGAACCGCAAAGGATGCTGCCCATAGTCGCCCGAAGATTCTGATTTAAAATGATGTTGGCTTTGCGATGTTTTTGTCGAAAGTGACAACGTCGGCGGCAAAGATAGGAGTGGGCAGCTGGAGAAAGAGCTAGCTGCAAGCGATCAGGTGCAGTTGGCTGGGGCCTGGCTGCGACCGCATCCTAGCATATAGGGTCTGCTGTAAACTTGCTGCAAAAGCGCATGACAAACACTGAAAGAAGTTGGTTGGACAAATGTTCAACCCCCACGCGGTGTGACAGCCCAAGGCGGTCTGCCTTCCTTTAGTACATGTTCACACATGTCACGTGTTGTCCGCATGTGGCAGAACATTGTTTGAAGCAGGGGACTTGTTAGCTGCAAGCACACATGACGATTGCAGGTGTACGAAACGAAGGTACTCTGTATCACTGCAAAATGACTTCACTGAAAGCTGCCACATGTAACAGCGAATTCGCAGCTTCCGGACGCCAAGGTGCAAATTTTAGGATTCTGCGCCTGGGCCCACACTGGGCCCACAATGTCATCCTGCAGCTACTTCGTGTGTGGCAACACGCTCACGCTCCCGACCAACCCCTGCGTGACTTTCAAACCGGCAACGGAAGAACAAACATGCCCTGCATGTATGCGCTCACTCGCATCCGCTGTCGGATTGGGTCCAGTAGCAGGCGCGCAAACGGGCCTAGTTCACTGCTCTGTGGCGAGCAGGCCTAAACAAACATTCCCCTTATATACCGTGCCTCATGACTGGAAGGGTCGGGGAACAGTAACTCCGTTCTATTGACGAAACGTGCACTAGCTGGAAGGACAATCCGAGCCGGCGTGCGTCGTGCAGTCGCCACACCCCTGTATCTTGCATTTATTCAGGCTGGGGGGTGGTGCCTGCAGTTCGTCCGCGTGCTTCCGAGGCCGCGACCCATGGCAAAAGTCGCGGTTTGATCGAGAAGTGCATCGAGGTGACGTCTTCGAAAACTGCACGGCTTCTTGCAAGACTCTGAGATCGACACCTTCTTGCCAACACTGCAGCAGCTGTAGAAGACTGTGGAGTTCTGAAGCCTCAGCCCTGGGTCTAAGAGTCTTCAGGCCACGGAGTGCGGGTGACCGAGCAACTGCGGCGGCCAAGCGGTGTGTTCCTAGTTTGCTCAGAGACCATCAGCAGCACACTGCAAGGACGTCGTCTGTAAATGCTGCATTATCGACCGGCATCGCATGAGAACAGGGTTAGCGCAACGTGGAGGGAAGCGCAAGCACTGAATTGGACTGCCGGGAGAGCTTGAAGTTGTTTGTGAGCGCCAACAAGGGCTCTGGAACCATCAGGCAAGTCTCACTGTTGGAACCCTATTCAGAAACAGCCCCGAACTGTCCGGAACCGTTCCGAAGCGGCGGAACGATAGTGACGTAAAGTGCCGATCTGGGCTCGAAGGATAAGGTCTCGGGATTACTGTCACGATTCTTGAGGCCAGAAAACGCAAGGACAGATACCCTGCATTCACCAGATCACCAGGGATTCCAAGCCGGGAGAGCAGCTTCGGCCTGAACCGCTCCGGAACATCGGATGCTCTGCCTGCTACCATGAACCTGCGTCTGATCATAACCCTGGCACAGAGTGCGATGAGGCACACGCACCTGCAGGAGGATTCGGAATTCCCGTCGACACATGGTGGCTCCTTGTTTCCTTGCTGTGGTATCGCTGAGGGGCTTTGCAACGCAGGCCAGTCATGTAAAGGTTAAAAGACGTCTGATTTGCAGGAGCTCGGGATGTCCCACAAGATGGTCCGGGACTGAGGACTGGCCAAGCTGGCAAGACCGAGGTTAGGTCAGCGCTGCAACACGGATCAAGCCACACTTGGCCTCGAGAATGCGCTGCCCAAATCCAAAACAGATCACCTCAATGCAGTGGAGACACGAGGAAGCCAACACAAACTCGGAAACCGCACGAGTACAGCTGAGACGGTGGCGCTTAGCTCAGGCGCGTGTGCTTCCAGAATCTTTCTCCGCCCATCCTCCTGCCATCATGCGATCACTGCGCAAATCCACCAAAACATCAAATCCTTTTGGGCTCAATATGCCGTTTCCCATCAAGGCTGCGTTTGTTGAGGCCCGTTCTCCAGTCAATCACAACCTAACCTAAAAGCCTAAACCACAACCTAACCTAAAAGCCTAAACCACTTCTAAGTCTAGCCAAGGAGAACCTGAATGCATGTCAACCGTCCTTGTGCATAGCCGCAGCCGCCAGACTGACGGCTACTTTAAGGGCGGCTTGAGCAGAAGTAGCACTGACAAGCACGCCGATGCAGTGCATGCTAAATTTCTAAATATTTTGACAGCCATCAGCAGCACGAGCCCTATAACCTTGTCGCATGTTGTGTGCATCGTGCATGGCCATGCATGTGGACGTTGTGAAAATACTTATGCCCAAAACTTGCGAGACACATTGTCGTTGCTATTGCTGCCGCTCCTGCTACTGTTGTATGTATTGCAGCAACTCTACTACTTACTATACGACTACGACGACGACGACTACTACTACTGCGACTACGACTGCTGCTGCTATTGCCACTGCTACTACTGCCACAACAGGATGAAGCCTCGAACTCTCCAAACCAACAAACCCACCAAATGCAAAGCAGAAAACTCTGCCGACTAGTCCACGCACCTGGGCAACTAACTTTTTCATGACCAAAAGACAACCTCGACAAAGGTTCCTGCAATAGCCGTCTGGTCATGGTGCGACCTCAATACTGAATGATATGTTTTGTGTTCCTCGGCATATAACAAATGCTGGGCCCTGAAGACTGCGGGCTTGAACAATCCGTCAGGTCCGTCCTCCAAACCTCAGGAATAGTCGTATCAGACGGAATCGGTGTGAAGAAGAAGTGAGACTTTTTAAGAGAGAACAAAAACATCTGCTGTCGCAGGAGCTGCGCAATGAAATTCATAGCTGCGTAACTGCATAGTTGTTGTAGTACTTCTTCTTTGACGACTCCACCAGATCTAAAATGATCTACAGCAAGCCTTGCGATACTGGATTGTAAAGTCGGCCTCTCGAGTTCACTCTTACTCATACTCGTCGCAGGAACCAGTTAGACTGTTATCATGTGCTCAAGGTCTGCAGCAGGAGCAATCATTCTGTACAGAGCCCAGAAAACATCCAGAAAACCCTTGATGAAAGACCTGCCCATCAAGAATCACTCCCAATGTTTTTGCTAGCGGGCAAACAAAATCGCAAAAGTCGCCCAGCCAAGTGCAGGCTTAATCTGCTACTGCTTCTTCCTCTGCTGGTGTCGAGGTCAAGGCTCTCTTGGCAGACACGAGTAGCAATGTGCATGCCAGAAAGATTGACGTGCCAGCCCAAACAATGACGCCGGTCTGTGGCTGAAACAGGCCACCAAAGCATAAAACCAAGGAGGCAGTGTCTTGCCAAGTTTTCTTCGTGGATGTCGTGGCAGTGGTCTGGTTCCCACCCAAATCCTGTGAAATAGACTCGTCCAAAGCTCCCATCGATAGCAACGATTCCAAATTGCTCTGTGCCGGAGTGGCAGAGGCAGCAGGCACGGGCAGCGTCAACATCGCGTGCGCGGCTTCCAGCGTTTCCAGTAAATCATGTTGCAGCGGCTTAGAAACAGCTTCTGTCACCTGTGACTTCTTCAATGAAGCCTGCAGCTTGGAGAGCTCGTTCACTAGTGATAAGGCATCCGCGGAGACTGCGTCTGCTGCATGACCTGCCTCCTCGACGTTGCTCTCTAGCCTGTCAGACACGGAGGCGAAGCGAAGTCTGCAGAAAATGCATCCCCCAGTGTTCTGAATGCTTGTCTTCGTTTGTCTATCTAGAACCATGAAGCGAGCAAAAGTGAACGAGAAACAGAGAGAGTGCGAGAGAGCACGGGAGACAAGGACAGAAAGAGAGACAAAGCAACGAGACACATGGCACACACAAATAACGAAAAGAGAGAGAGAAAGAGGGCAGAGACAGAGAGAGAACAAATGGTCAACGAAAAACGACCCTTTCTCTTCTTTGCTCCCCTGTGTTGTGCTTCGAGAACTGCCCGCCTGTAGAAAGTAAGCGGCGTACACAATATCATTCGTGACGCCGCATGCAGCTTGTGTACGAAACCACTTTCGCCGGAAAGCATTGTGAGCATGGACCAGCGAAGAATCTCACAACACCCCCGTGGACAAGATGCCAAGTTCATGGCTCATGATTCATAAGGAAGCCTTTGCTAGCATACTTATTCTTGAAGTCCATACCAGGTCTCACCAGGTACCGCCCCCCAGTTTTCAACAGTCCTCAAACGCGTGAAGGCTGAAAGTAAAACGAAAAGCCAAACGAAACAAACACACGCGGCAAATCACAATACGACTCTCGGCCAACACTCGGATTCAGGGTAGTTGTGGTAGCGGCAGTAGAAGCCGTAGCATGCCGTAGCAGCAACAAAACTAGTGGGCGGGTTGGGACGTGGCATTCAAAGACACAACACCAGAAGTTTCGAAACGGATTGGATGTGATGGGCAGCGGCACTCGGCCGTGTGCAGCTGCAGAAGTTGCGCACACGGGTCCAACCTCATGAAACCGCTTATGGTAACCTTACCTTAACCCGAAATAACCTACCGTTTGAAGGATTGTATAAGGAAAGTATAACAAGGAACCCTACACAGGTAGGTTATTCAGGGTTAAGAAAAAAAGCCCATGTCAGGCACTCAACCTCGTCAAGATCACAGGCTCTGCGTCTGTGTCGGCATTCGGAGATCGCGGAGGTAAAGCCTCAGCCTGCAAAGACATTTTCCCTCAAAAGGGACCCTTAGTTTAGGGCTCTTAGGGTTCCTTTAGAGGGATCTATAAGGTTTTTTTTGTTCACGACCCTTTTCCGTCTCGCAGGATCCAGAAAGTGAGCTCTCACTGGGCGTTTGGTCTATAAGGGTTTAGGGTTTAGGGTTGATTCAAAGGGGAAAAGGAGAGACCCTTAATGGGGACCCCTACCCTATAATGGGCTATATAATGGGTATATCATGGCTATAGTATGGGTAGATACCTAGGGGTCCTTATTAGGGGTCCCTCCTTTTACCCTTTGAGGCCCACGATTCTTTAGTTCTCTTGGTTCTTATGAGGTTCTCTCTCTCGCACGGACTTGGAGGTTCTATAATCAGTCATTGAACCCTAAGCCCGATACCCAGGCCCAATACACCCGAAACCTTTCATTTCAGAAACCCTAAACCCTAAACCCTAAACCCCTAAACCCTAAACCCTACCTCAAAGTTGCTGTGGGCACCTTGCGCTGAACCAAAGCGCAGCCTGAGATCTCCTCCCCATCGGAAAAGCTCGTGACGCCTCCGAAAGGGCTGTCGGGTTTGAGGGTTTCTAGGGTTGTCGGGACCCTAAACCCTGACCCTAAACCCTAAACCGCTGGGATTTTAGAGTTTTTCGGGTTTCTTTATGCCAGGCAGGGTCGAGCGTTTGTCCTTCATGTTCCTGTATGCAATGTCGAGCTGGAATAATGCGGGCTAAAGGTCTTGGAAATACATATCAGGGCTGATGGTTTTGTGTTTTTTTGTCGTTGCTTCTTGTGCTATAGTCTAGGGTGTTCAGAGTTACGGAGAAGGGCTTCTCGGGTGATGCGCAGGCGGCCAAGTAAGCCAAGATGCATGAAAAGGACTGGAGCAATGCCAAGGACAGCAGCGTCACTCCGATACCTGGATTGTTGTTACTATAAATTAATTACCATGAGGAAGCCAGACCTCATACGAGACAGTACATGGTTCTGTTTTCCAAAAGCTTGTGGTGGTAAAATTAACACAAAACTCTTACATGAGCTTGTCGGGTGCCCAGATACATGGATGCGACATTGGATCATGGAGCCCCGAGCGCGGCTGAGGGGTTATCACTACGCCGCAAAAATGCCCGAGCTTTGAGCACGTATACAGGACAGTCCAATTCATGCGCATAGCTGCAGGGCACAACCAAGCCGAGCTGTTTCTCACCAATCTGTGCCACCAGCAGACGATTGCAAGAGCTCTTACGAGTTAGGTAGACCAAGGCCTAGGAGAACTCTCGGCTTATCACGTATGCGTCCGTTATACTACAATTATTACAATAAACAACCCGCAGAATCATATTGGTAATTATTTTAAGCCCCACGCAAAGAATCGGTGGGCCCATCGCTCTGCGGTCTGCTCTCACAGGTACAAAGCTAATGTAGGGCTTTAAGAAGTAGAGTAGGGCTTAGAGGTTTGTTGTTTAAGAAGCCTGTCCAAACACTCTTTTCTTAATACTGTGAAGAAGTAGAATTTCTTTGGAGCCCCAAGGAATCATTTTGGGAGTTTATAAATAGGCTTCTTCGTTCGTCACAAGCGGTTCTTTTCTAACGCGCCAAAACAACCCTTAGGATGTACTTCGGCCGCCGTGGGCACTCCTGGAAAGCCGAGCCTGCACGAGACTCCGAGGGGAGGACCAGGGTTTACTTAAAGGATCATGGGACTTAGTAACTAGGGTTATAAGTATAGGGTAACTATACTTATATCCCCAATTAAGGTACTTGTAACCTTACTTACTAAGTCCCATGATCCTCCTAGTAGGGTTCAGGGAGTTAGAGTTTTTAGGGTTTTGGATTCTGTTGCCTACTTCGCAAGGACAAGCAGGCATGGCAGGGTCGGCAAGTCGGTAAAGATCCTAACCACTTTCGGCAAGGACGATAAGAAAGCTTCAGGGCTTCAGTTTCTGTCTCCAAGCTGACATGAACTGACCGTTTCGGCTCTCACACCAGCACAAGACAGGAAAGGATTCACGAAGCCTGCGCAACACTTCCTGCCGGCACGAAGCCGCCCCTCACAACAGAAAGGCAGAATAAGTTAGATGCAGTCAGACATAGCATGCACAATGAACGAACCAGCGGCTTGTGCAAAGCTTCAGCTTCCGCGGCATCATTCTCAACAACACCCAACGAACGACCACAACTTTCCAGCACTCCAATGTATGAAATATGTACCCGAAACCCTGCCGTTTTGTGGCCTTTGCAGCTTCTTGGAGCTGTTGGAGCCGCCTCTGACCTAGGCGTGTGGCGTGTTCTCGATCGATATCATAGATCGGTGGGGCCTACGGGGAGTTTCAGAAAAGACAGAAGCCTAACAAAGACGCCTAAATAATCGGATCAACAGCACAACGACTCGTGAGGGAGCATCAACTTTCCCGCAACGCCATAGCACAAACAGATCGAAGTTTGACATCGCGTAGATAGAAGCCTGGTGAAGGGGAAGAGGAGCCCTCTCTGCAAGTAGCGGGGGATGTTCGTGTAGGGGGAATGCACCAGTACATTCACCAAACCGTGCTACTTGACCATGCTGCTCCTAAAACGCCTGTTTAGTGGCAATGTTGCGTGTCGCGTGGCTTGAGAGAACCTGAACGACCTAGAACGCCGCCACGACGGGCCACACGTTCCGGTGTTCAGAAGATTCCCAGCGCGAAGCTGCAACAAGTCCGGACTCCAGGAAGTACAAACGATCAGGAATCACAGGAGCAGGTCATCAAACGCACCGATAAGTATGTCCAGTCGCAATTGCACAGCTCGCCGAAAAATAGCACTTCTTCATACTTCCTCCCTTATCCGGGGGAGGCGCCTACTGGGCCTACTGGAGCAATGCAAGTACTGTGCCACTGCTATGAAATGACCTGCTGCCGAAGCCATTACGACAGCAATTGCAACCAGGGGGCCAATCCCTGGTAGAGCGAGTATCTTCGAGCTGTCGCACTCTGCTGCTTCGAGCACTGCCTTCCGTAGGCATGACTTGTATCCGGATGGTAACGGTCATACTGACCACAATGTCTCTTTGTTCTTCCCGCCTAGCTGACCATCCCGTTTCAGGCGTTTTCAAAATGGCTTTAGGCTTCAGGGCCAAGAGATCGACCAACTTCAAGCGGAAGTCTCCGTGTTTGCATACATGATCATTGTTACAACTGATTATGCTCACAGGTTGAGGTTGCCGGGATATGGCATAGCAATATTCTACGGATAGATGACAAGTTCACTACTGCCACTCGGCTGTCGGGCTAATGTAGGTTTGCCTGCAGACGCCCAGATTTGCACAGGTCCATGGTCAGCTGTTGCAAACGAACGTTTCACGGTGTAGCCTGTCTCACGCAATTTCTTTACATAGAGCTTTGCCTCAGACTGAATGTTTCCACCGCTTCCCCAAGGGGGTGGTGAAGAATTGGAATCATTCCATATACAGAAACCTTCACGGACCCTGCGCTTGCAAAAAAATACAGAGACAGACGAACAAGAGTGTGCCTGCTGCAGGCGCGATGGAATCGAAAGCAAAAACATAATACAGGATAAGATGATCTACTGTTGCGTGTGTGAGGCGTTCCTCGAGTGTGGACGCCGGTCGATGTGTGAAAAACCAGTTGGCGCGACATAGCCCCGGAACTCCGTACTCTCCTGCGACAAGCATGACGACAAAAGCGGAAAAGACACGACCTGCTTTACCGTTCTCATCAATCTGATGCTGCAGCCCCGGGCCCCCAGCACCGCCAGCAACAGCACCACCACGAGCCACACCCACCACCAACACCAGCTGGATGCGCCACGCAATGTACTGTCGTGAAACCTACTATTCCATACAAGCCGCATAGTAAGCTTAGGCCCTGATCTATCCCAGCGAACCACTCGGCCGATCTTGACGGCGAGCCTGGCAGCTGCCGAAGCGTGCAAGCAAGGCCCTCGCCGAACAGCCGCCGATGCCCGGCACTCGGCAAAGCCTGCTCTGTCCCTCCTAAAACAACAACTCCTACAACATCAACAACAACAACAACTACTACTACTACTACTACTACTGCTACCACTGGTTTGCAAACATCACACCGCCAGAGCATGCCTGTTTTCGTCACCATCAGGCTAACGCAGCTAGCCGCTCCAATCTCGGATGTGCAACTTACCATTCATCCCTTCCACCTGACTCGTGCCAAAGTAACGGCCGCTATTCGACTTTCGCACGAGCCGGACAAACAGCAAGTGCCAGGACATGCAAAACAACAAACAACGGAGCGACCGAATAAACAAGCAAACACACACACACACACACACACAATCCAAGTGTTTCCAAGCTTGCACTTAGTTCCGTGTCTTTTGGCCAACCATCACATCTAGTCATGTCCATCGAGCAACTCTACACAGCAGCTCTTTTTAAATCTGTCTCTCAGCAACCATCACAATCAAGCAGCATTTCGAAGCAAATCTTCACCTACACTGCACGCCTTGCAATGGCTTTTTCCCACCCGACAGAATGCTACTGCCGTGGAGCTATACATCTGCAGCTACGAGGCCTTGCCAGCTCCGAAGCCAGGGAAGGTGTATCGGCCTAGTCATGCTTCACTCATTTGGTTCTGACTCCAGCGACGCATTCTCATCGTCATGCTCTCCGACAAAGTCCCTCAATCCGTGTTTCCAGCAGCTTGGTCCCCGGCTGTCTGGCCGGAGTCCATCTTGGGGTTCTTTTCCCGCACGGAATCCAGTCTTAGGGTTTTGGGTTTCGGCGCTCACCCTCGAACAATCCAGGCGAGGCATGTGCTTCGGGGTCTGTTGAGAGAGACTGCAACTACATGGGAGCGAGCATCAGGGTTTAGGGAATCGTAGAGTAGTTGTGGTGGTGGTGGGGGTGGTAGTAGCTAGTAGTGGTCGTCGTCGTAGCAGAATAGCAGCATCACCCCCCTGCAGACAGGACGCTCGAAGCACTCGTCTGGGTCGCCGCCCCAGTCGCCAAAGGAGCCAAAAGAGATCGCAACAACTGCAGAGGTGCCTTCATGCTGTGCCTGCCAGGGGGTTCGGCTTCTTTTTCAAGAAAACTTGGGTTTTGGGACTGCTACTTAAAGGATCATGGGACTTAGTAACTAGGGTTATAAATAGGGTAACTATACTTATAACCCCAACTAAGGTACTTATAACCTTACTAAGTCCCATGATCCTCCAAGTACGGCTTTAGAAGTTAAATAATAATTGGCCCCGAATCCTGGACCACAAGCCTGAACCCTCCAGAGTCCTTTGTCAAAGCTGTCCCTCTACCCTCATGCAAGCACCCCAACAAAGTATCAAACATGCTAAGGACTGCGTAGGATACTCAGGATCACCAAAAGAGGATCCTCATTCTGAGTTTCCTCCCCCTTCCAAGACCAGGCATCTCATGTCGCCTCGGTGTCCTCGAGCGACGCGCCGAGTGCAGCTGCCTGCGCCAACACGGAAGCGGCGAAGCCGACGAGACGCTTGGCCTTGGCGCCATTTATGCTCTCATGCTCGGACTCTGCCAGATGAGGATTGCAAGTCGCTTGGGTTCCCCATTTTTTTGACACTCACACTCGGACAAGCCTGGCAAGGTCTGCAGAACCCATTATAGTTATAGAACCAGAACCCTATTCTAAGTATTAAGGTAACGAAGGTCCCTATATTATCGCTTGGGTGAAACATCACAACATGAGTTGTGCTTACGCTCTCACTCTTTGACATGCCATCTAATCAATCTAATCACGATGCAGAAGGTCAACACGACCACGGCTGGCAGATGCAAACTTTGTGCTCAGATGAGTTGCCGTTTAGGGTTCAGGTGGTGGTAGGTGCTCTTGGCGTGGGAGCCGGGGCTAGAGTTTGGGTTCAGTCATTGGCTCATCTTTCTTTGAAGAGGAACCGTGTATCGCACAGTGCAGGAAGTATCTGGCCTCCATGATGCAAACCAGAATTACTTTTGCATCCAGGCTTGGGAAGTCGGCCGGGGAAAGTCATAATTCTCCCTAGATGTTTCATAAGAGTCAAAAAGGCTTCACAAACTAATTGTCATGCGGTTGGCGCTCTCGCCGTCTTTGC